AAAAAAAAAAAGGGCCCGAAATCGACTCGACTCAGCTCAGCAAAGAGCGACCCTTTCGGCAAGCCTTTCGAGAGCTTCACCACCATATCATCCAACAACCACTCTCAACTTCAGCTAGACCATCCCAACTCACTTTCGAGGCTTTCCCTCTCCGACATTCGTTTCGAAGGGCAGGACCTGATCATCTCCTCTCACCACCAGCCACCACACCACACACCAACGCACATTCGCATTCGCATTGGCCGTCTCGACTCACCACCTCCTCACCCTCGTCATCGATTCGTGCATTGCTATCCACCCACCCTCGCTAACTACCACACTAGTGCCGGCTAGAATAGGCAACGGCTCGGCATCACGGCAGCCATGCCCGTGAGCTCGGCCGCCAAGCTCGCCTCTCACATATGGAGGGGCGCCGCGCAGTCGGCCGCCAATGCCGCACATAACTCGGCCAACACCTTCCGCGGTGCCTTCCAAGGCGCCTCGGGCTCCACATCCAGTACAGGATCATCGGCGTCCGGATGGGCCTCGGGTCTCAGCAGCGGTGGATCGTCCGCAGGCGCAGGCGCAGGAGGCGCAAAGTTCCACGCAGGTCGCGGCGCCTACCATTCCTACCAGCACACCGGCCGCGTTCTGTCCCAGGCTTCCACCTCCAGCGGCAACGATGCCAACTCAAAGAGCAACGACGACGAGGACGAGATCAGGAGGCAAAAGGCTTACAAGCTCAGGCTCGATGGCCACCTTCCTACGCTCGCATCGCCCGGACACCTCACCAACTCGCACATGCAGGTCAGGTTCCGACATGCGTTTGCTGCCAATCACGCTCCGCTGCTCCTCACCGCCGCCGACGGCACCCACGCCGATCAGGATGCAAACACGGCCGCACAGTCCACCAGACACATCTCGTCCTCGGCCGCGCAGGCTGATGCTGCCAGCGTCGAGGCATCACAACAACAAGCAAACAACTCGGCTGCGGGTTTCAGCGCGCACGACCGTCTCTACAAGGCCCTGCGTCACGCCACCGCCAGGAGAGATGCCGCGCAGATCCGCGACACGGTCGCCGCGTTCAATGCGCTGCCCAAGGAGCAGAAGACCACCAAGGGGTACAACATGGTCATGGAGTCGCTCCTCTCCATCCGCCACACCGGTCAGCCCGTGCGCGAGATCACCGACACCTACAACGCCATGCTCCAGGAGGGCCTCTCGCCCAACTCGCGCACCTACACTGTGCTCGTCAAGGCGCTCTGTGCGCTCGACGCCGAGACGCACGGTGCCCAGACCTTCAACGCCGCCGAGCCCCGGGCAACAGCCCCGACTGCCCAGGATGCGGCCGAGAGCACAACCACGCCGGCGGCCGACGACAACTTTGGCCAGGCACTCGAGTTGATGAAGGTCGCCCACGGTGGTCGGCTGTGGTTCGACGACGCGCACGCGTACAATGCCATGCTCTCCAGCTGTGCGCTGCGCGGCGACGTCGACAGCGCGCTCGGCGTGCTCGACCTGCTCGAGCGCAGCCTCTTTGCCAACACCGATGCCACCACCTTCAAGCACCTCATCACCACCTTTGTCACCGACCCGCAGCTCAAGCAATCCGAGACGCACCAGATGCACGAGGCGCGCAAGCTCACCGCGTGCAAGCAGGTCTTTGACGAGTTCCTCCTCGCCAGTCAGAATCCGGACTGGAACCACGACCGCGACGCCGTCGTCTGGTGCTCGCTCATCGACGCCCACTTTGCGCTCAACGATGCTCAGGGCGCCGTGCGCCTGTTTGAAAAGATGCTCGAGGGCGGTGACAATGTGCCTGCGCTCGACAGCCACGTCGTCTCGGCAATGATCCGCGGCTTCCTCAACATTGGCGACGTCACCACCGCTCTCCAGTGGTTCACAAAGCTCACACCTGCCGAAGACATGCAGAGCTCGCAAGCACAGTCGACCGAGTCGCACATGCCAAGGCCTACTCATTCGACCGTCGAGCAGCTCATCGTCAGCCTCGCACAGTCCGGCAACGACGAGCTGCTCGAGCCGCTCCTGCGCGTATTCCAGACATACGCACGCACGCTCTTCAAGCCTCATGCCGCCCAGTTTGCCGTGCTCGCCAACGTGCTTACGGCGCACGTGGCGAGCGTCAAGCGAATGACAGACGCAGGTGCCAAGCAAGACGACACCAATGCGGTGCTCGACCGCGCGCTCGAGGCTGCCTCCTCCTACTTTGGCTGTCTCCAGGACTCGCTCCATTTTTACGATCCCATCGAATACCCGCACGCCACGCAGCAGATCGTTGAGGCCTTCTTTGCATTGAGCGACGCGCTCATGGCGGCCGCACGCCATGTCGATGCCGGCTCCGCACTCAGCTACGTCGGCTTCTTCTTCGACAGACTCGACCTCACCACAGCCGAATTCGCCACGCTCACAGAGAAGCTCTCGCAGCTCGCAGCTAGCTTCCTGGCTGCGGATGCCGAGGCACAAGATGCGAATGCGGCATCGCTCAGGCTGTTTGCGGCTGCGCAGTACGTCGTTCCGCTGCTGCGCGCCGCGGATCGGCTCGATGAGAGCACGGCACAGGCTCTCACGACGCTCTACCGATCCGTTCACGCACAGACGCCCGAGGCCGTGCCAAGCTTGCCGTTGTCCGCGGACGCCTGGACGCTCGTCCTCGAGGCCTTCTGCTTCGAGGAGGCAAACCTCCGTCCGCTCAGCCTCGATGCGTTCAAGGCCGATGGTATCCCGATGGTCCTCAACGACCTCGCCAAGCTGCCTGCCCCCGAGGCAGCCGCCGAGGCGGCTCCGTCCCGCCCGGCAGTCGATCTGACAAAGGCCGCCGAGGTGGCGTCGTCCAGGTATGGAGACGAGGCGCTCGCGCTGTTCCCCGACTGGGCGACGCAGGCTCTGGCTGCCGCTCGAAACGGTGCCGCTGATGGGGCTGCCGCCGCTTCCGCTACCGTCGAAACCACGAGCGACGTGACTGCGTCCGAATCGCAGCTCAGCGGATCCACGCCAGCCTCTACGCCTCCTCGGAAACACTCGCCGCTTCAGCGTCAAGATCTGCCCGCACCCGCGCTTTCGAATGCAAACATCCCCTTCTTCCCGCCCGTCGAGGTGGTCGACACGGACTTTGGTCAAACTCTCTTTGCGCTCGCGCGTCCGTCGGGCCAGGACGGTGCGCCGCGCGTCTACGGCGATGTGCGCAAGCAGATGCGCGCTGGCGTCTACGCGCACCCGGAAGGTCTGGCTCAGCTCATCGGTGCGTTTGGCCGTCTGGGTGACGTCGAGCGCGTCGAGGAGCTGTACGCTATGAGCCAGCACGTGCTGCACGCTCTGGCGGGCGATGCGCGCTGGCAGTCCAAGGCGTGGTTCTACGTCGAGGACCACATGATCCAGGCGCTCAGCCACGCCGGCAGGCCCGAGGCAGCCACAGCGCACCGCCATCGCATGATCGCCGCGGGCGGCAGCCCGGGCGCCACCTCGTACGCTGCGCTCATCGCTACGATCCGCGAGACGACCGACGACGCGACGATCGCGCAGGAGCTGTTCGAGGAGTCGCAGCGCTTCGGCGTGCGCCCGACGGCGTACCTGTTCAACGTGGTCATCTCGAAGCTCTCGCGCGCCCGCAAGGCGGACCGCGCGCTGCAGCTCTTCGACGAGATGACGCAGACGCACGGCATCAAGCCGACGAGTGTGACGTACGGCGCCGTGATCAATGCGTGCACCAGGATCGGCGACGAGCAGCGCGCCGTGCAGCTCTTCGAGCGCATGGAGCGCGACCCGTCGTTCAAGCCGCGCGTGCCGCCGTACAACACCATGATGCAGTTCTTCATCCAGAGCGTGCCCGACCGCGAGCGCGCGCTGGGCTACTACAACAAGATGCGCGCCGCCGACGTGAGGCCGAGCGCGCACACGTACAAGCTGCTGCTCGACCTGTATGGCGCCATCGAGCCCGTGCAGCCGCACGAGATGGAGCGCGTGTTCGACGAGCTTGCGAGCAATCCGGCGGTCAACGTGCAGGGCACGCACTGGGCGTCGCTGATCAACTGCTACGGCTGCGTGCTCGGCGACGTGGAGCGCGCGATTGCTACGTTTGACTCGATCGCCTCGCACCCGTCGAGCGCCGGGCGCAAGGACGGCGCGAGCTTGCCGGACGCCGTGTCCTTCGAGGCGCTGCTCGCCGTGTTTGTGGCGCACGGCAGGACCGACCTGATCCGCGCGCACCTGCACAAGATGGAGCGCGCAGGCATCCAGATGACCGCCTACGTCGCCAACCTGCTCATCCGCGGCTACTCGATGGAGCGCGGCGACGCCGGCCTCGACGAGGCGCGTGCACTGTTCGAGAGCATGGACGAGCCCGCTGCTGGTGTGGCTGCGGCTGGCAACCACCCGCCGCGCGCGCATGGCGCCGGTGCACAAGAGTCGACTGCGGCCGACGCCTCGCCCGTCGCGAATGCACCGGCGAGCACGCGCGGGAGCGGACTGGCGGCGCTGTTCGCATCGGTGCAGCGCGAGCCGTCGACGTACGAGGCCATAATGCGCGCCGAGCTGAGCCACGGCCACGCGGACCGCGCGGCTGCGCTGCTGGAGCGCATGGAGGCGCGCGCGTTCCCACCGGCGCTGATCCTGCGCGCACAGGCACTGCTTAAAGAGGAGGGTGCGACGAACACTGCTGCTGACGAGCCGGCGGCGCAGAACAAAATGCCGTTCGAGTCTCAGATTCCGGCGCCGCTGGCGCTTTCCGAGGGCCGATTGACGTTTGGACAGACTTCGCCGCGGCTGCACATCGCGAGCGAGCGAGGCGGCGCGATGACTTCGGTGCGGCATGCGTCGACCATGGCGGGCGCCGCGACGGCGGCGGGCACGAGCAACCCGGCGCCCGGAGCGCCCAAGCCCAACAGCCCGTTCACGATCTTCGACCGTGCGGTCAAGACGGCGCAGAAGGACCGAGCTGCGGTGCGACCGTCGGTGGCGGCGGATGCGCAGGGGCATGCGTTTGGCGCCGAGTCGACGCGCGGCGAGGCGTCGCGCCAGACGGACTATGTGCGACGCGCCATCGCCGAGTCGCTGGCGGAGCGTGTGCAGGACATCAAGCGCGACTTTGGCACGATCGTGGAGCTGGGTGCGGGACCGGGGCTGCTGCGCCACTACCTGGATGCCGAGGGGAGCGGCACCAAGAAGATCATCATGTGCGACACGAGCGAGGCGCTGCTGAACCGGGACCGCCATCTGGACGCGCAGTTCCCGTTCGAGGTGGAGCGACGCGTGCTGGACGAGGAGATGCTGCCGTTCGAGGAGGGCAGCCTGGACTGCGTGGTGGTGAGCGGTGGTCTGCACTGGACCAACGATCTGCCGGGCGTGCTGATCCAGATCCGGCGTGCGCTCAAGCCGGACGGTGTGCTGATCGCGGCGCTGTGCGGAGGCGACACGCTGTTCGAGCTGCGCACGAGTCTGCAGCTGGCGGAGCAGGAGCGCGAGGGAGGCATTTCGCCGCGCATCTCGCCGATGGCCGACACGCGCGACATGGCGTCGCTGTTGTCGCGCGCCGGCTTCACGATCCCGACGGTGGACGTGGACGAGGTGCAGGTGGGCTATCCGAGCATGTACGAGCTGATGCACGACCTGCGCGACATGGGCGAGTCGAACGCGGTGATCAACCGCCGTGGCCAGCTGCGCCGCGACACGATGCTGTCGGCCGCCGCGATCTACGAAGCGATGCACGGCCAGAGCGGCGGCGAGACGCAGCAGCCGCAGGGCGTGCCGGCGACGTTCCAGCTGATCTTCCTGATCGGCTGGAGCCCGGCGCCGACGCAGCCCAAGCCGCTCAAGCGCGGCAGTGCGACGTCGAGCCTCAAGGACGTGCTTGCCGGCAGCGAGGGCGATGTGCAGGGGCACGCCGAGGCCGAGATGGAGCACAGGCAACGCGCGCAGTGGATGAAGACGATGGCCGAGGATCCGACCAAGCCCAACAAGAAGTAGAGGCGTGGGTGTGCCTGCGCGCCGTGTAGATTTTTTTTTTT